TCTGAAATCGATTGATAACCAACAAATTTTAGTCAACATTGTGTTCTAAATATAGAAACATATGTATATCACTTCAGATTTGTAGGGAAAAAATATGCTGACACCAAGACATTAGTGTTCTTAGACTAGTTGTTTATATTTACGTGTGAAGTGGTGACCTATATCTGCCGTCAACTCAGATTATTCCGAACATGCGTTCCGAACAGTAAAAACACGTCAAATTATCAAGGCTTTTGACTTTAGAAATGTCTATTTACAGATTGGATTCTGCAAACTTAAATAGTCAAAGAATTTATACCAAAATGGGACGCTTTTCAAACAGTGAAAAATGTAACATTTAAGCCAAAGATGGATTTGGATTGGGGTTCTGTGTATCAATATTATTTCTCCTATATCTTGGTAAAAATCGGGATATTTTCGACTCATTTGTCTCACTACAAACAATATTTTATATAGTATAGTAACTATATATAATGACTCTTGAAGTGGAGAAGTATAACGTTACTATATAAACGTATCCTCTTAGATATACAACCGCCTTCTACTAGCTGCGCTAGTGTGCTTTACTGAGATCATCTGGAATTAAAAAAAAAAAAATCAAAAATATCAAACAAACAAAAATTAAACAAAATAAAGAAATCAATAAACAATAACGATTTTTTTGTTTACATGTACTATAACTATTGTCATCACGGTACACAGAAATCATGTTATCGCAGGTCAACATTACTGTAGTGTTAAAAGTCAAAATACAGGGTACAACAATTGTCAGTTGGTATATCCAACGGCAAGAATTTGTTATATAAGACAATGATTTAATACAAAAATTGAGAACAGTTTATGAGTAGTCACGCAAACTCATTCGCAAATACATATAATGTCCATTTGATAAATTATTAATGATCATACATTATAGTAACTTGTTATAATGTTATTTTTAACTTATCACTTTACGGGATACTACTTTGAATAAGGTCGTTCTAACGTTGGTTAAGGTTCATCATAACAAATGGCCAAATATGGCCGTATTTTCACCTCAAAAACTACTCTGTGTACAGACTTACCTGTGCAGTTTGGAAAGTTTTAAGGCCTGGCATCCACTAGATATATAAAAGTTAATTTCATTTTGCATATCAGAAAGATAAAATCTTTTTTAGATTATGATGGGCATTTTTTGTCGTTCCTGTAGAAGGTGTAAAAATTAACTAAGTTGGGATACAACTTTGAATTGCTCCCTCTCAGGTAACAACTGGTTTGTATTGTATTGATTGTCCTTGATTGGCATGGACAATAGATATCTACGTCTAGGTTAGTCTATGGAAAGGTATATACTATGAAATTTAGAGCGAGGGGCTTGCCCCGAGCTCTTAATTTCATAGTATATACCTTTCCATAGACTATCCAATTTAGCACATATTTACAACTCGAGTAATCTTTTAATTGGTCTATTGATAGTTTATTTTGGCTGACTACTTGTATCACAGGTGTTTGTAAAACGGAGCTCATTAACGAAGTTTTGCAAATCTACTCACTAGTATCATTGTAAAATATGTGATTTCAAAAGGCCCTTCACTCCAGAATGAAAAGATGGTAGCTGCTGGTGTAAGTATGTATACTGATATAAAGCGGTGTTTTACTTGGTAAGATGACAAAATAAATTGACCAAAAGCAGGCAATAATTAAATTGCAGTGGAAGCTTTACATGTTTTGAAAACATTTTTTAATTTCACAGTAAAACTAAAGCTATAATAAACTTGAAACATATAGATAGTTTGTCCCCGTAGATATAGTCTAGCAGATAGGCATTAAAAAGCAACTACCAATAGATCAGAGATTATAGGTTTTGTGTTTTGTGTTTGTTTTTTTTTTTTTATTATTTCAAAGTAAAAACTAAAAGATTTATCAGAATATGTTTATATATATATATATATATATAGGTGGCACATTATCTTCAGACATAATCACAGTTTTTCAATTCATGACATCGTCCTGAACATGCATGAAATATTTGCCACTGGACATTAAGCAACCAATAATCAATAAATCAATCAATTCATGACGAAATAGATCACCTTCTTTAAGAAAGTTTAAAAAATTATCACCAAGTTGCTTTAGTTTTCCTTCACAAGGTTTCATAGTACACACTTTTCTGTGTACAAAGTAATTGCATGGATGATACATTATCATAATTTTAAGATATCGTTGTACTCTAATCAAGGTATAAAGAACCATATGTATTACCCTTTATTTAAATGATAAAATTTGCAATTGTCAAAAACATTTTTTAGATCCAAAGATTTTAATAGCAGGATATTTAAAAATCAACATGAAAACTAATTACAAACTATTTAATTTAATTTGGAACACAGCATTTTATTTCCAAATAGCCAGTGGCAATTTTTGTTTTAAATATCTTGATTACGATACAATGAAATCTTACCCTTGTGGTCATTCATGCGTATAGTTACTTAGTACACAGGAAAAGTATGTACTATGAAAATTAGAAGGCAAATATAAGCAATTTGATTGGACGAGAAGTTGTAAGTATGTGATAAACATCTATAGGTCAGTTAAAGGTAGAAACCTAGTGGACAGTATCAAATGCAATTCAGGTGTTTGTTTATTTTTACACCTTCTGCAGGAAGGAAAGAAAAATGCCCATCAAAATCCAAAAACGATTTTATCTTTCTGATATGCAAAATAAATTTAACTTTTATATATCTAGTGGATGCCAGGCCTTAAAACTTTCCAAACTGCACAGGTAAGTCTGTACACAGGGTAGTTGAGGTGAAAATACGGTCATATTAGACATTTGCGGAAACTGTCATACACCTACGATTAGGATTACAATTACACTTTCAGGTAGCATTTAAATCTTGGGTCGTCTCAAAACGCAAATATAAACTTTCGTTCAAAAGCAAAGTCTAACTCCTATGATGTTTTTTTCTATAGTTGAACAACGGGTTTTTTTTTAAGAAATATATGAAGTAACGTGTACACATTAATTATTGCACATGGTGTTATCCAGGTTCAACATGCTGTTAATGTACGGAGTATGATAGAATGGAAAAACATCATTTAATAAATTTTACGTGAGACATAAAAACAATCGTATTGTCGTTGGCTATGTGTAAAGAAAGGGCGATCAACGAAGGAGCATGATAGACAATGTAGACAATAATTAATGTTTATGCTAAGACATACATTTTCCATATTTTTTGTAAGAAAATGAGAGGATACAAAGGTTGGGTGCTTAAGAACTATTTATTTTTCATGGCATGATACATGCCGATTGGTATATATTTATTATCTTTTATTTTTTCTGAATTGGGCAAACACTTTTGTCCACGTTTTTGGTATAAAAAAATCAAAAATATACGAAAAAAAATACAATACCGTTATCAATGAACATCTTTGTGTCAGGCTCTTATAGAAATGTATAGTAGGTGACTGTACTCAAATAGTTAGAATTTTACTATCTTTCTTTTCAACTTTTTAAATAAGACCAATACCAGGTCTGGACCTGCGTCACTGCATGTAATTGATTGATGTTGTTTGTATTTTGAAGCGTACCTGACCATTCCCTTTCATTGAAGACAAGAAAACTTTTGACTAGCATTTTCCTTAATAATGAGTGTTGTAAAATTTCAAACTATTGGAAAACAGGAAGTGGCTTCATGGTCGACTTAAAATTTGCTTACACGCTGCAACTCATAATTATCAAGTTGTATCAAATCATTCCCTTCCATACAAGCCAAAAAAACTTTGACGAAAATTTATCTCGTGCAATGAGTCTTGTCAAATTTCAACAGGAAGTGGCTGCACGGCAGATGTAAAAATATCATACACGCTCGCTGCAACTCATAATTTTTAAGCTACAGACCAAATATACAATCATTCCCTTCGATAGAGGCCAGAAAAGCTTTGAGAAAAGTTTTATATGCAAGGTCTTTCGGACGAACGGACGGACGGACAGAGACGAGCCGTTACTAGACCTGTTTTTGCCTCCAGCGACGCAGGTAAAAATAACTACCGGGTTCTGAGTTAATTGTTTTTATGCAATTTTTATAGAGATCTTGGGAATCATTTGAGTATAGACGATTTTTTTTTACGGTGTAGATAATTCCTTCTTTCCCATGCACATGGATGGTCTAGTCTGCTCGAGGCATGAGCAGTAACTCATGAGCCGAGACCGGTACAATTTTCTAAAAAATGTACTTTCGAGTGCACTTCTGACGATCACACAAAGTTTATCCGCATTTTTTTCCGTTGATTCAAAGGGATAAAAGGTGCAAAGGTATATCAGGCGAGAAGAAATTGTTAAAAACAATCAAACACTGTTTAAGACAGTTAGGGAGCAGTTTCGGATTCAAAAGTGAAAACGTAATAATGAAGGACATAAAAAATTAAAAAGCACTGCTCTACGGCGGGCTTAATAATTATATTGTGTTACTTGCTTATCGCATTTTCCCGTTATTTTCAAGTGCACTGTTTGTAGAGTACCCTCTGAACGAAATTTCTTCTGATTTTTAAAATAAGGTAAGATACAATTTTGGTTATACATTTTATAAAGAGAAGTACTTTGTTTCTCGGGGAACGCGTATGGTTCTCCGCATCTTTTGTTCGGCGACAAAATATATCTGAACAGACATTCAGTATTGACGCCTTATACAAGACAACAGATTGTTCGAAAACACCAGAATAAGTAGAGTAAGCCTAAAAAATTAAATAGACTTATTGCACTCTATAGAGTAAAGCTTGAACACGCCATCGGAAAATAATTAAAATACAAAGATTTTTTGGTGACATATCCAATACACCGATTCAAATCTGTTGTGACAATTAACTATTTGTGGCAATTGCGCTGCATTGGTGTGTCTTCGGAATGAATTATTTACATAACGAAAAAAAAATCATTTGTTTTAACTAGGTATATCTGTTGTTACCTTTTTGTATTTTGAGATGACCCCTTGTTTTTCGTCAACTGTAATCGTAAGTCTAATTGTAATCCTAGGTATAGACCTAGTTTCCGCAAATGTCTATTTGTCCATTTGTTATGATGAACTTTAACACGCACACTGAACATGGCGAACATAAGCTTTTTGTCAGGATCTCTTTATTCAACAGCCTTTTTTGGAATAACTGTGTACATTTTCTTTGTTGTGATCCGATTGTTAATAAAATATCAACGAATGCGATATTTTTTCGATGCTTTGCCTGGATACAGTACCAAACAAAAACATTGGATCCGTGGTAATCTTCATCTGGTATGTAGACATGTTTATCTCCGATAAATTCTAGGTCAAGGTTATTGATAGATAGATAGATAGATAGATAGATATACTTTATTCTCTAAAACCATTAACAAAGGTACAGGGAAGGAAACATAACAAGTAATAGCTTTTCTAAAAAAAGCTAGCCGTCTCTTAGCTGATGAAAGTGGAAAGTGTTCTCGCTTTGTAGATTAATTCATTCAAAATAGCCTTGCAAATAAATCAACAAATTTTACCAAACAAATTATGAAGCAGTATGTCGTTTAATGTTGGGTGTTAAATAATGTCCTTATCCTACTAATCCTTCAAAGCTTAACATACCGGATTGACATAATATTTTGTGAGAGACCGTTCTTTTAAAATGACAACAGTATTTTCGTATTTGAAATTTATAATTTTCTTTTATTTCTCTTTTTCTCATATAGCATATATATAGATAGTATAAATGGTCAATAAACATCAAAACAATTACTAGAAGTTTGTTCTTGACCCTGCTCATTGTTTTAAGTAATATTCATAATTTTGCTATTAAGGAATTTTTTTTTACATGTATTCACAACTATTCTATATATCATAGCTAGATTTGGGAGGATTAAAAACTTAAAATATTGTAATGACATGTCCATTGTAGAAGACCGTAGGTTAATTTTTAGAAGTAAATTGTTTTGTTTGTTGTTTAATTGGGTTAAAGTCTAAATTAATTACGTATACTTCATATCTCCTTTCAAATCATTCATAGAAATTAAGCACTGCCAGTGGCGGATCCAGAATTTTTTAAGGAGGGGGGCGGCGCTGACTGACCTAAAAAGGGGGCTCCAGTCTTGCTTCAGTGATTCCCTATATAATCAACCAAATTTTTCCCACAAAAGCCTTCTTATATTCCCCTTTGGATATTTTTGGATCTTCTGTTCTTCATCACCAGCTATAAGCTATAGACAACTTTCATCCCAACCCAAATCCTGTCCTAAAGATCGGGGAGTGCGATTATCATACTTATCATTTGTATTAAGAGGTAGAATAGGTCTTTATTTAAGCTTCATGATATTTGATGAGGTCGAGAAATTTAGGTGACATATGTAAGACAAGGTTGAAGATTGAATCTGAAACTGATCAGATGCCGATATTTTTGTACGGATGCAATTACAATTATGGTTGTAAATGCTTTACATATTTGTCAAACAATTTATTCTATCATCATGAAATATCATAACCATGATTTCCTTCAAGTCTTCTTCGTGTATAAAATGTACGTAACAGTGATCGACTGGATTGAATGTGAAACAACCACGTGTGTACTGTGTTTACAAAACTTCAGGAGATTCGGCTATTTATAGATAAATGTTACCTGTGTACCGATATGCATGATTGGTGACCAGGCAAAATCTAATTGCTAAAATAGAGAGTACAAATCCGATACTCTAAGGGATTGAAAGACATTTACTAGGTTTGAATTGTCCCAACCAATCAAAGAACTTTAATTATTAACGTCTCAGTAATATCTTCCAATCAGGTAGTTAGAAGCTTTCAGCCCGCAGACTGTCCATCGTTCAATTCTTAATAATGTCTCCTCGGAGACGTTAATAATTTAACATACAATGAATAAGGTGATACATGGAGTAAATTTGTACAAAAACAACACAAAGTTAGAAAACAAATAACACAAAAATAGAAAAATAGTTATTGGTATTATTCCCCCATGCCGGGGAGAACTGGCATGATTTCATGTTTCTACCGGGAAAATTTTGGATCAGTGCCTTTCTTCCCCCGCAGAAAGTTGGCAATACGTATAAATATAGCCACATTTCCCCCAATATTTCCATATTTCCCCCATAATATATAACCATCGAAATTGTACTGCCGTTTATTGTATTTATTTTCAGTATTTTCTTTAAATATGATTAATCTCTGGAATGCTAAAATAATCTGTTTCCCGGCTTGAGTTGATTAGATCGAGTGTTCTGTATCCCCTTGTGGTTTTGTTTTACAATCTGCTTTAGTGAATGTTCATTTATGATATTAAGAAGTTGTGCATGAAGCTTAATCTCTCGTTTGCTAGGAATTGTGTATGGCTTATCCCAGTTTATGTGGCCAAGATTAAAGTCGCCACCAAGAAAGATTGTAGATTTTGCATTTTGGTTTATGCGATCTAGTGAGATTTTAAGTTGGTCAATGGAATTGTCATTATACTCTGTCTAAAATCCGACATATATATTCGTATGGTTAACATGAAAATCGTACTTAAAGTTCATGGCGTCATTCAGTTATGTTACGCTGATTTGAAATTCCATTCTCTTGCGGGTGGAATGTGAAATGGAACGGATATTGGGCCATGGTACGGAGACAGCACAAAGTTACCCAATGCAACACGCAAACAAGACATCAATTGATTGCAGTACATCCAATGCGATGGGACCCCTCTTACAATAATCAGTCATACCCAGGCGGTCTTAAAAAATATATAAAGAAATCATACCCAAGGGCTCATCATATGTTTCATTTATTCCAACAACAAATGTTACCATCCGACAAAATTCCTTCTTCATGTGGGCTTCAACAAGAACATGGGTTGACCATTTGGCCTTAAGACCTACCACAGAAAGTCACGTAACACATACCAAGGGTTCACTGGGGAGAATGGGAGTGATCACGACATCAGACTATGTACTTCATATACATGTATACGTAAACAAATCATTTGATATTGAATGTATAATACCGACCGTGGAGACCCTCATGGGTAGTTAATGTTGTTAAACACCCACTAGTAGTAGAATGTATAATGATACGATGATGGTGTGGTAACGCTAAAATAATTAAAAAATATGGCAAGCCGTTTTCGTCAAAACTATGTTTAAACCCTTTTATTGAAAAAAATACACACTGAGAATTAAAAAAACCACACTGAGATTTAAAAACTTAAAATAACACACTGAGAAATCGAAAATTACACACGGAGATTTTAAAATCACACATTGAGATTTAAAAAAATGAAAAACACACTGAGAATTTAAAATTACACACTGAGATTTTAAAAAGACACACTGAGATTAAATAAATTGAAAAACACACACTGAGAATTGTAAATTATTCACTGAGATTTCAAAAAATACACACTGAGATTAATATGTACATTACTAATGAATATTCATGAGATGAATAATTCAACAGACTAATATCTTGGTCTCCCGAACTCTCGTCATTATAATGAAATGCGGTTCCTTCAACCAACATTCGTAATAAATTTCAAGACTTAACAGCGTTCATAAGTTTGTTGCCTATAATTCAGATTATTACTAACAGTGTATCGGGATTTTTTGCTTAAAACTGTTTAAGCATGGGTTCACTTTTCAAAAGTCTTTCAACTGTTACCCGGATTTCGCAAGGTTTTTTTTTTTATTTTAGTTACGTTCATATGCTATAATAGGCACTTGGGTAAAAATTTCACTGCATTGTTTGTCTTTTTGCAGATTGTTCCAATGTTTTCTTATAACTGTTATGCGGGAAAAGAGGGGGAAAGGGCAGTCTCGGGCAGTTGCCTCCCCTCTCCCGCTGAAGGTTAAAAATGTTGTCGCTCTGCGGTTTACATGTCTCTGTTCACTATTTTAACTACGACAATTTGGGGGACTGTCGTTCACGTTCTTTCGAGGCCTCCTGGTGAATAAAACAAAGATGTCTATATATGTTTATTTCGAGTCCAACCATAAGAGTAATTTAATCAAAATACATTAATATGAAATAAAAGAGTGATTCTTAAAATGAACTTGAATTAACAATTATCAAAATACTTCATTAATTAATTAAAATAGTTTATTATGATATTTATGGTAACGTTAATAAAGAAAGATTTCTGTTATAAAATAGTTACATTAAAAGATTAATAAGGTTACGTTATATTTTTCATTAAACAAATTTATAAGTTTACGAACCTGGTGAATAAAACAAAGATGTCTATATATGTTTATTTCGAGTCCAACCATAAGAGTAATGTTTGATTCCTTAGGGTTTCCTATTTTAAACACTAAGAACACGTGCTGGTTGGACTTGTTTTATTCACCAATCAAAATGACTTTTAGAATACTTATTTTTATAAGAACAGTTTCTATTGGTTAGATCTCTTTTACCTTATTCACATTTTTACATAATTTGGGGTTACTATTTTTAATCACTAAATACCTTGTTTTTATGACCATTAGGGAAATCCGATTATTTTGGTTAGATAGAATTCTATGTGAACAATAGAAAAGAATTAATATATTTGCTAAAGGAAATACTTCTAAGAGTTTAAGCTGTCAAACCTTATTTATATCGCTAAGTGTCAAATAGGAAGAATTTCACATCTAATACTTATATATCAAAAGTTACATAACATTAGAGACTTTCTAATTATATCTTTTTACACAAAAAGCTTTATACAAGAATTATTTATTTTCTACAAATACATGTAAGATTAACTTAGTTTTATATGAAATATTAAAATGTATTTCTTTAAATATTTTACCTCAATTTACCATCATTATATAATTCTAATAAAGTTTTTTACCATTTGGTTATATTTTGTAATGAGAGAAAGTGTTTTTCAGGTTATTTCATCTCAGTGTGTCTTTTTGAAATCTCAGTGTGTAATTTGCATTCTCAGTGTGTCTTTTGAAATCTCAGTGTGTAATTTGCAATTCACAGTGTGTAATTTTCAATTATCAGTGTGTTTTTTTTTCATTTTATTTGTAATCTCAGTGCGTCTTATGAAATCTCAGTGCGTGTTTTAAGGTTTTTTAATCTCAATGTGTGTTTTTTTTTTTAATTCTCAGTGTGTAAATTTTTGGAAAATGGTTAAAACAGTTTTGACGAGAACGGCTTGTCATAAAAAGAATAGTTACTATCCTTTAATGAATAATTAATATCTCAACTGGCGTCGCGGACGTTACTACAAGAGGAAAAAATAAGCTTCTCGTGCAACTAGAGGGGTAAATAGGCCTGATCCTGGTTTCCCCCCCATAACGCTGAGGGAAAAACTGGGATCATGCCAATTTTTTTCTGGGGGAAAAACTGAATTGATCCAGTCCCCCCGGAAAGTTTGGCATTGAGGAAAAATGGCTATAGGACATCGGTATACATTAACGAAGGGAAAAATCAACATACTTTTGAAACATACTCTGCTTATATATGTTATACCCACAACACAAACCCTATACACCTCAAATTAAATTATTGCGACCCTGTACAAATGTACATGTATGGCCTGTGTTTTGTATGTTGGACCTGTGTTTTGTAGTTTATAGGTTTGTAGATTTTACTCAAGATATACAGCCCATTTAAAAATATTGAAATGTTGTATGTTTGCCAATGAGACAACTTTCTATATCCTTTTGTAGTCTACAACAATGAACAAAAAATATGGCATACAACAACCAACGAACTGCTGGATTACAGGTTCCTGGCTTGGATAAGTCACATAAAGACTTGGCGTTGTTAACATGTATGTGAGCACTAGATCACCCCTTAACCTGGGACAGTGGTTTAACAACACACCCTACAAACCTGGGACAGTGGTGTAAAAACACAACATACAAACAAACTGTAAAACTAATTTGGAAAAGACTAGACTCATCAGATCAGTACTTTATGTTAGTACCGATAAAGACAATATTCAAAGACATTTTTCATGTACAAACCAAACTTTAAATCAAATATTTGTATCTATGAAATGATTTAGTAAATGTTTTTAATAATTTGCATTAATGAGACCCCCAACTTAATGAGCTGTAAAGGGACCCAATTGGTGCCTATAGGAATACCAAAAATCTGTCGATAAACTGCATGTATTGCCGAAACGTACAAAGTGTGTATTCGGGTAAAAAATTTCAGTCTCCGTAAGTATATCTAGCATATATTTTTTTTTTCATAGAAACAAGAAGGATTTATCTGAATTTCAGCAAATTAGTTTGCATTCAGATTTTTTTTAAGGATCATTTTGATAAATAAAAAAACCTTCTGTTTGATAAGACTGTGCGAACATGTAGTGTATACAGTCACAATTCTCATGTTCGCTACTAGGAGATACTAACTTCCCTTTATGTACATAATATTTGATGATTTTTGTTTCTTTTAAAGGTAATACATTTTTTTTATTTCTTTATAACAGTATGTTAAAAATGATAGCATAGACATAAATCAGATAAATACACTGACGCGAAGATTTCCTCAGTTCTACTGTGTATGGTTTGGACCTTTTAGACCAGTTGTATCATTGGTACATCCAGATTCGGTAAAGGTATTGCTTAAGACCGCTGGTATGTATTCTTTGTCTTTATAACTTGCTTTTGTATTATCCTTGTATTCCTATATATGTATTCTATTTTTGTCTCGCCTGAGAAACGAATCGCGAAAGGAAGACATATCGAACCTATATATATTCCATCACCGCCGTCAATATTAACGATTGTCACAGTGGTTTACGTTTTTCCATAAACTTTATCAAAACACAATGGAAATTTTCAAGACAAGGACAGAAGCTTTTTAAGGATAAAGAGACAGCATCCAAAGCAAAACGTTACTTATTTTTTCACTAACAATAACATACAATCTGAGTTTAGATAGAACTTCTTTTAGATATCAATTAGTTTGTATTGGTAAATAGCAAATTAATACATGTTATTTCTAGTATATATATGTTAATATAAAACAAAAGCAAAAACAAAAACGTGAGGGTAATTGAAATTAAAAAGTAATAAAAAATAACGAATTTTGGAAGGCTAAAAAATTTTCCTGTCCCCCAGTACCCATAAATTCTCATGCATTATTTATAACGTCCTAAAACGTATATCTAAATTACGAAAAAATCCAAAAGAAACAATTAACAATGCATGGGCTCGCTATAATGTATCAGCATTTCGTGTCTAAAGACTATACGCCATCTAATTATCCATAGAGATGACCTCAGAGGACTGCCGACGGTCATATAATAATACCCCGATATAATAAAACATTAATATAAATATAAATTGACAGACCAGCACGTACAATCAGATTTTTCTAGGTCTGTTTGAATTCATGTTAAAGGTTAAACATATGTGTAAATCTTCGTTTTATCTGTATATGAATGATTTTTTAAAGGCCGGATCAGTCAAAGAAATGTTTATTCCTGGTGTCTCCCTTGTCTCACTTTTCGATGTTGACATTCTTTTCTTTTTAATGAATAAACATGCTAACCACCACATGCTGAATGTAATGGCCTGACCATTAAGTATAACCGACGATTGGGCTCAAGCAGAAAAGACTATCAGGTGCTGATACTTTAATTATGAACCAATCTGACATATGGTAAAAAGCTCAAAATACAAAATAAAATACAATTTTACAATGTGTTCAATTAATGTTATAATGTATGAACGTCAAGTGTAGACAATAGCAAAGTCCATAGAACGCGAAATAAAGCTGCAGTTATTAAAGGTGAAGTTTCCAGTATATCACGGATAAAGAGTTCAATTATGTGAAGAACGATTTGAAGGCATCAAATACAAAGTTATAAATGTAACTCACTCTGTGGTTAGCCACGAATTTTGTCCTATATGACGTTTGTCTTCAGAATGTTCTCCAGTACTGAGATGACCTTGCAGTATTCAGTTCGAGGTACGTGTAGGAAAGGGAAAGATACCGATGATATGATGTTTTGACATTCTATACGGTTAAACGATGAATAATCCTCCTAGACTGGAACACATAAATAGATTAAGAATATAATCTAACGAACTATATAAATTGAGGAACGGCGTAACAGAATACTCCCCGTCTGTTGTCTATCTGATATCACTATTCCAAAAATTAATCGCATATGTACAATGTATATAAGATAAATAAATAAATCCCAATATAAATTGAATATGTACAGGTGAAATGTCCACTATTGGTCGTGTGAGAAATATCAGGTCTCAACTTACGACTTTTCACTATAAAGTTTCTTGAATAAATTCATTCCACGGGAAACTGGCACAGTTTCGTGTCCTTTAGAAGAAGGATGTCTCGGATGAGATTGTTGTGTTCTGTTGATTGTTCCATTACTGCTGTATCGATAAAAGGAACTGTTTTCTGCAACGTTGTGAGACGGCGATATCCTCCGGTAAGTATGACGGGAGTTAGTACTTGGTCCTCGTCCGATTTGGCGAAATGTCACATTTTTGTGAGTCTCAGACGAAAGCGTTTCGTCCTGCGGATCTACTCGCTCTATCTGTAAAGTGGCGTCCTCGATGTTTGATTTTGTCGTAGTAATGTCCAACAAAAGGTGTTACTTTGTGATGATGTCCAGATAAGACCACCGGTTCCTTTTCACTAATATTCAAGTCAGACTTGACGATACTGCTTCCTACTCGGAGTAGAAGTTGATTGTTCAAAGGCAGATTGAGATTGGCAATCGGTCCTTCTTTCGGAATAGGTTTGTGAATGCGACTGATTTCCTCTCCATGAACTTCATGTCTTGTTGATTTCGGAATGACATTTTCTTTGTCCATAGAATTTTCTATAGAAGTCACAGATTTTGTTTTTAGTGACACGAATGCTGTCCCTTTAGAGAAATTCGTGAGTTTACCAGGCTTGGTACTAGGTCCAGTACACTCAAGGAATTGTTTGGAATGCGATTTTGCAAATTTGGTATTCGAATTAAAGTATTGGTCGTTATCCTGAACAACAATTGGATTCTTGTCCTTGAAGGCTATTTCCGGTCTTGAGGCAAGACGTTGTTCTGGTTCCGTGATTGAAACGTTAGTTATCTTCGTGTTGACTTCAAGCGGAACAGTTTGTTTGTCAATGTATGTATTTCCAATTATGACCCAACCAAGTTTCAACTTTTGTGTAAACGGAGTTCTGGATGGTCCTAGGCGTTGTTCAAGGACGTGGTGTGCCTCTATAAGGTCTCTTCCAATTAAGAGAAGAATTTGACAATGTTCCTCCGAGTTCTTTTAGATGAGGATGATGCATTGCGACTTCAGGAGTAGGAATTTCGTCTCGATTATTGGGAATATTATTACATTCAATTAATGTAGGCAGATCAAATTGTACGTCACCATGTACAGATTTTAAGACGAAATCTTTTCCTCTTTTCCCGGAAGTAGCTACTCTGCCGGAGCATGTTGTAAGAGAGTAGTTTTTTGCCGAACGTTGAACAGACTGAAGAATTCAGGCGAGGCAAGAGACCGGTTGCTTTGGTCGTCAATGATGGCGTACATCCGGATATTTTTGTCTGTCCTGTCCTTGTGGTACACATCCACAGGTACTATCTTGGCACGATTTCTCACTCTTAGGATCCTTGTGGATCTCTGTGCAGGTTGAACTCACAGAGGTCAACTTGATTTCAGCCGATTCTGTTGGCTCCCCGCCGTAGATTGTTCCAGGCGAATTATCTTGAGAAATGGTGTGTGGTTGCTCCCTTGTTATGTGTAGTGCGGTAGTGTGTCGTTGACTTCCACACTCGTTACAACTGATGCTCGCGTTGCAATCACGACTTATGTGTGTGGTTGACTCACAGCACTTGTAGCAAACATTGTTCTGTCTTAACAGTTCCTTGCGTTCCTCAATAGATTTGGCTAGAAACGCTCGGCATTCGTTTAAAGGATGCTTTGTATTATGCAAAAATGCAAAGACTTTGTTGTTCACGGCTCTCTCCAGGTTGTTGTTCAACTGCTGTCTTATTTACGTTGACTTTAGAAAACGTCTGAGATGTGAACTTTGGCGCAGGCCAGCACCTTTTGTATTTGGTGTGACTTTTGACCCAAAGATGAAACCAGGATCGTTCTTTATTTTGCTAATTTCCCTGATGAAGACAGATAATTCTGTGAAAGGCGCCGGTAAGGCAACTTCGTGTTTAGACTTGTATCTTGAAGACCTTGTTATCCACTTTTCTTGGAGTCCGTATGGCAGTTTTTCTACAATTGGATTTATCCCGGATGAAGAGTCGAAATAAGCTAGCAAACATCCAAGCTTGGGGTTTTCCTTTTGATTCTCTATTTCTGAGATAATATCTGACAAATCGTAAAGGAGTGAGTTGTCCTTATTCGTCAGTGTTGGGAAGTTGACAAGTTTGTTGACGAGAGACGCCTCCAACATTTCTGGAGCACCATATCGGTCGTCAAGTATCTCCCATAGTCTCTGTAGGCCTCTTGTTGGGTTGTTGGCATTTGATGCCCTTATATTCATGGCATGTTTGGCAGACTCTGGTCCAAGCCATTTAATAAGTAGGTCTATCTGTTCCGAGTCAGAAACTTGTAATTCGTCTATGACGTTTTTAAAGCTGGCTTTCCATGTATGGAAGGATTCTGCCCGGTCGTTAAAGCTTGTAAGCCGGGAGAACAGTAGGTCCTTACGCAAGAGAAATCTGGTTATCTCCGATGTAGGGCTGATTTGTTGCAGGTGTGCAACAGGGGTCTCTTCTATAACACCTTGTTTTTGGTGTGAAACAGGGATCTCTTCTATAATGCCTTGTTTTTGGTAGGCAACAGGGATCTCTTCTGAAACGCCCTGTTTTCCTATGCCTGTTATTGTTCCTAGATCTGGGAATACATTAACTTCTGGTGATTTAGCATGTGTAGACAAGACCGCAGGTGTTTATGATGGCAAGTTCAGTGCCACAGATGGCACGAACACTGGTGCTCCATGACTTAGCTCAATCTTAACAGGTCCTGCCACTTCCTGTACGGCAGTTGGTACAGGATGTTTATTGATGAAATCTCGCACACGTTGGAGCAAGTCTTCCATTTCCTTAGGAAGATCGTCTAACGCTTGGCTGTCGTCATATTCTAGGATACGAGCTTCGGCTTCTGCGGCTGCAGCTTCTCTTCGTGCTTCGAGATGGTTTAATTTGGCTTTCAGCTCGGCTTTTTCCCGGCTTACACGTGCGGCCTCCTGTTGCATTTGAGCCTTCCTGCGTATGGTCTCTTGCTCTGCCTCATGTTCCATTTCAGCCTTTGTACGCGCGGCTTCTTGTTCCATTTCAGCCTTTTTAAGTGTGGCTTCCTGTTCAATTATAGCCTTTTTACGTGCGGCTTCCTGCTCCATTTCAGTTTGTCTGAACAGGGCTTGTTCCTCTAACATTGCCTCCTGTTGTAGGATAAGTGCATGTTGTTCGACAAAGGCTATTTTTGATCTAGCGGCCTCTGCTTTGGCACGCTTCCTCCGTGCTAGGCTTGACATGTCAGACACGTTAGAGCTGCCACTATGTGAGGCTTTCTTACTCTTTGAGGTCTTTGTTTTAGTAGATTTAGCCTTTGACAGGTCGAGACGATGTTCGTGCAATGTTTCTAGTGCTAGGTCCACTTTGGACAGACGAATATCCAATGTGAGATTACATGCGTCTATGTCTTTTTGATTGTCCAATGTTCTGGTCTTTTCAGAAAGTCCAGGTACTCATCTGTGAGCCTACGACAATTCCTACAGGCTTTTACAAGGTTATCCTGGGCTGTTAAGAGTTGCTGGAGCTTGTTAGGAGGCGTGGTGACTTTCAATAAATGGGATTCTACATCTGACTAGAGGGCCTCTAGTTCCTGACAGAACTTGTCACGTTTTTCTGTGAAAGCTCCTTTACCCTTTTCCGTGAGGTCACGTACTCGCCCAGTCTCGGGATTTTCATCGTAATGTGTGGTATTGGACGGATTTTCTACTAGTTCTTCAGGGACATCTCCCTCTGGGGGTTGAACCTCGTCTTGCTGTTCAGTGTGACTGGGATCCATGATGGCTCAACGTTGTTCGTTTGCTGTCAAAACACAAGCTGTGTTGCGTAGTGTCAAGGTAACAGCTACGAACGATGTTCCGTTGTATTTCCTGGTCAGGATATGTGTAGACAAGTTGTTGTCAATTTACTGTATGTCAAGGGATGACGCGTTCTTGCAGGGCTCAACAGCCAGGTTGTAGCTGTAGAACTGACGTGGAGTGGCGTTATGTGTGAGACACAACAGGCAAGTTGTAGACTTTCTACTGTAATGGCCTGACCATTAAGTATAACCGACGATTAGGCTCAAGCAGAAAAGACTATCAGGTGCTGATACTTTAATTATGAACCAATCTGACGTATGGTGAAAAGCTCAAAATACAAAATAAAATACAATTTTACAATGTGTTTAATTAATGTTATAATGTATGAATGTCAAGTGTAGACGATAGCAAAGTCCATAGAACGCGAAATAAAGTTGCAGTTATTAAAGGTGAAGTTTCCAGTATATCACGGATAAAGAGTTCAATTATGTGAAGAACGATTTGAAGGCATCAAATACAAAGTTATAAATGTAACTCACTCTGTGGTTAGCCACGAATTGTGTCCTAAATGACGTTTGTCCTCAGAATGTTCTCCAGTACTGAGATAACCTTGCAGTATTCAGTTCGAGGTACGTGTAGGAAAGGGAAAGGTAACGATGATACGATGTTTTGACATTCTATACGGTTTAACGATGAATAATCCTCCTAGACTGGAACACATAAATAGATTAAGAATATAATATAACGAACTATATAAATTGATGAACGGCGTAACAGAATACTGAACATGTGCAACCATCTCCACTAAAGGTCAAATTAAAGGTTGCATGCATACGTATTCAAATTTGTTGAATTATTGCAATAATACATCAGTGATGTTTTTTAGCTTATTTTAACGAAATTGAAGAAAACTTTCTGCTAATAGCAAAATTTAATTCTATATTCCACTTTTATAAATGTTTTAAACCTCCAAAAAATCCTATTATATTTGTTTGTCTAATGCGTAACTTTAACTCGCAAGTCGACTTTTGTAACTCGACATTCGACACTCGACACTCGACAATAAGAAACCCTCGACAGAAACCTTTTGATTTGTGTTTAAAGGTATATGTAGGACAGTCATTACGTGTATTCTTTGGAACATTATATTTTTTTATAGTTACAATTTAGTAAAATTTCAAAGTACTCAGGTTACAATATTTTTTATGGTTATTCAATGAATTGTTCATTATTTTTTTAATGTTTGTGAAGTCGCACATCTTGTACTCTATTGATGCAACTTTTGGTAAAAAGATTATTCCTGTAAATATAAAGTTTTCTTTCTCAATCGATAATTATTACAAATATAGAACGGACGTTTCGAACCGAAATTGCAATATTAGTCGAGCAGGAACTCCATATGTTCCGGAAAATCCCAGTTCATCATTGGTTTTCTTTTTTCTGGCTGTTTAATTTTCCGTAGTACGAGCGTATATCCCTTTATTTTATTGTATTGTTGTCTCTTTTTGCAACGGTCTTGTCTTTGGGTTTTTTCAGGAAAATTTAATTTTTTATTTCAAGCTTTCTCATTCGTTTTTGAACTAATGTTAGAGGCTTTACATGTACAATATTTGAGGAATTATGCACGTCTAAGCGTGGGACAAATATACCGACCACATTAGATTAAGAGATGTGGTATGATTACCAAAGAGCCAACTATCCAACAGATTCGAAATGAAATTCTAAACGAACAGATACACGTATATTTTAGATTTTACAATGAACAATATTTGTTAATATGATAAAATGAAATACAATATTTAAAAATCAAAGGGAGTGAAGTACGATTTTTGTTTTAGTTTTATCATTGCATTGCAACTCATTCAACTATTTATGTAAATTGTACATCTTCAGCACTCGAATAGAAAAAGATGGCAAATAAGAAAAGCGCATAACTTTTTAGAGCAAAATGAATGAACTTGTATAAAAATGCAAGTGTCACATGTTAATAAACATGAATAAAAATAGATGTGAGGTATATGTCACAAGTTCATATTGACAATACAGTAAAAACTCAATAGATTTAAAGATATTTTTAGGACTTCTTGTTCTACTAAACGGAGGTGAATTCCAAAGACAGCTAATACCTTTTATTGTGTATGAATCATATATTTTTTATTGAAAATATGCAAAATCACATAAAAAAAAAGAAAGAAAAGTTATAAAAAGGAGCAATGAAAAACCATAAGTCGATTAAAAACACCAAGACTGAAGAAGCAAAATGAACAGACAAACAACAGTTTACAAAGCACTACACCGAAAAACTCATGATTGAGCAACACGAACTTTACCAAAAACTGGGAATAAACACAGGAAATCTTGAAATTTATATTAAAAAAACACAAAAAATCAACAACCGGTGCGCGTACTTTGTTATAGTAATTATTTTTTTCAATACAAAGTTTCCACAACCATTTAAAAATGAATTCTCTGAATAAGATATTTCTAGGAATGCATGTTCTGTTATGTATACTTACAGGTAATACTGTCAACATTATTTATGTCTGATCGAATGAATTTCGTAAAAACAGCGACCGCATTGCAAACTGAAGCGTTAACGCATACACGTTTTCCTGTATTTTTTCACTCACATATAGAAAATATTGTAAAGTAAATGACAAAAGTGCGAATTAATTTATTCTTACATCAATTTTTAGAGCCAAAACCTGTTGGTCATGGACCAACATACAGAACTCTGATTCCATGGCTTGGTGAAGGATTGCTAATAGCAGGAGGGTCCAAATGGGCAAGATCACGTCGACTTCTTACACCAGCTTTCCATTTTGAAATTTTGAAAGGATACCAAACAATCAACAACCAGTGCGTAGACATACTAATAGTAAGTATTTTTTTCATTCACAAAATTGCAACAAGTATTTACCCAAAAATAATTTCTGTGAACCAAATAACTACTAAGTGTAAGAGCTCGTGTATTGCTTGTGTATACATAACACTTTTAAGGAATATTATTTCTCAAAAAGTCGAGCATAACTTAAACTAAAACTGAAATATCAACGAATAGCATTTTGTTTTTAAAAATCCAACATAACTAAAAATATTGTGCTATGTATGAACAGTAATGAGAACGCATTATCCTACATCCTGTCGATACTGATGACTTATACTTTGGCATTGCATAAGGTCATATGTTTCTCTGACTGTTTATGACGTCTTTACGTTAAATCCGTTGGATGTATACTGATTGGTACTTTAGTCTGGGAGAACAGGATTTATTTATTAGTTGTAATTGGCGTTGAACTAGCTCGCTCTCAGTACTCTTTATTTCGGTGCTTTGTGTCTATTTTTTTTTATATATGATGCTTTTGTGCCTCGTACCGATTTCTGAGTTAAGTCAATTGCAACTGATTTTAACAGTTTGTTCTTATGTTGTGCTGTTACACCACTGTCCCAGAATAGTGGAGGGTTGAACGCTCGCAAACATTTTAACCCCACCATATTCTTTATGTGGCTGTCCGAAGTCAGGATCCTGTAGTTCAGTGGTTGCCATTGGTTCATGTCTGTCATGTTTGTTTTAGGTAAATTGTATTGTTATAGATTAAGACGTTATTTTTTTTTTTGAAATGTTGCACATTATTCTGGAAATTAAAAACAATAATTGTTTAAACAACAGATAGTGAAACAAGTTGTCAGTGCTACTTGTTTGAGTACAGTATGGCCATTTATGTTCTGATAATGGTAGTTACGAAACCAATGCTCTTCATACTTTAGTATACATTAACTGTGTTAATGAGAAGACCTAAATAAGTACCGACCAATGATAATTATGGTCTTTGATAAAATTATGTTATTTATGAGAGTAAATATTACAACAGTCACGCGTATGTTCCAGAAAATAAAAACAAAGATCCCGTCTAATAACAGTCTAGAATTAGTCAATGTAAGATGCATGTCAGTAAAGAAGTAGAGCCAATTCCCCCAGCATGTATTTATACCATGGCCATTTTGATAAAGTCCTTTAATCTTCACTTAACTTAACAGTATTACTGCTCCATTTATTATAATGTTTTTGACCTGTCCGTTCGTCCGTCAGTCAGCCAGTCATGTTCTTGTCATCGCAACTCCTCTGAAACCACTTAACAGAATTTCATGAAACTTTGTAGATAATAAGGACATACTATGTAGATGTGTTTATCGACAGGAAATTATGATTCAAAGTCTTTACTAGGAGTTATGCCCCTTTGAATTTAGAATTTTGGCCATGACATACTACTGCAACAGTTTGTCAGCACAACTCCTCTAAAGCCACACGATAGAATTTTATGAAACTTTGTAGATAATAAGGACATATTATGTAGATGTACATGTCGATAGAAAATTATGATTCAAATATTTTTCTATGAGTTAAGCCCCTATGAACATAGAATTTGAACCTAAATATACTACTGCAATAGTTTGTCAGCACAACTCCTCTGAAACCAGACAACATAACTTCATGAAACAATGTAGTTAATGAGGACATAATATGTAGATCTGCATATCGACAGGATGTGAATGTCCTTCAAAACAAAATTTAACTCCAAAAATGAAAAAAAAAAGTTTCAGAAATTTTAACATAAGTGTAATCAGCAGCAATATGAAACGCCGAATTACAGATGATTTAACAGAAATATGCAAAACTGTTGAAAATCTTTTAAGTTACAATAAATAAACTCTTTAATATTCGATTTCTGGAAATATGGGATAACATGTCAACGAAAACGCAATAATCAGAGTACAAGTTGGAATGAAACATAAAACTCGTCAACAATAAAAAACCGAGATAAGTTAATAGTTCCTAGAAATCTGTTAAACATGTAGTAATGCAGTTATTTTCAGACAAACCTATGACGCCACAAATGTAATTCATTGCCTTTTATCGTCATCTCCAGTTTGGTTAAGTGAAGTTTCCAATTAAAAGATGCAGATATGAAATTAATTGATGCTGTTCTTAAACCGTGACTGAAAATTAGTATAAATTGGACTGTAGTTTCAAATTTTACTTTTTATCAATGGTTATTCGATTTACGTTTGTTCACTGTACTGTTTGTAACAAACAAAAAATGAGCGATAGTTTTTTGCGAGTGCGTATAGTGATTTTGTATCATGTATGATTAATATAGTACTAGTAATTTATCTTCTGCCTCTCTTACAGGATATAATGGAGAAGTATGCAGATACAGGAGAAAGTTTTGATTTATTCCAATTGATTAGTAACTGTACCCTAGATATTATTTTCCAGTCAGCGTTTTCATATAAAACAAATTGCCAGCTTGATAGGTAAGATAATTCAGCTGATTTTGTGTTTCAAAACTTGAGCTCTGTTTAAAATTCATTATTACTTCAAATTGTTTATCTTTTCTAATCGATTCGATATTCCAGACCTTGACTCTCCCTTTATTATTTTCTTGATAAAAAAACAAGGGTTCCTAAAGTAAAACCCTCTTGTGTAAACTACTGTTGTCTGTAAAACTGTTGTGCCTTTGCTTCGAAATACTCGTGTTGTTGTATTAATTTTTTTTTCTTATAAATAAAAGCAGTCACAACTCAAAAAGACCTATAGAGGTCAATATGCTGTCTTCAATAATAGGCAACTTTCTATATATACCTGTTCGACATGCCAAGCTCTAAATCAGCCCGAGATCAGACAAGTTATGAATAAGGAGGTTTTCATCTCTTCGTGTACGTTCGTTTTGTCACACATGGCGATGCACGTCGGTTAAGTAGTGTTTGTTAATTTCGACCAGGAGTACAATTCGGTGAATATTGCAATCAATCAAACAACCAATAAATCAATCAATTATTAAAATATTTATTAAGTGAATTAACATTTTAACACTTCTAAAAATGTTCACTCAATTTTTTGGACAGTTTTCATTTAAACTTTTACTTCTAGGTCGTAAATCTAAACCGCTTTTTGCATCATTATTTTTATGCACGCGAGTGCATGCTTATATGCTGTCTTAAGACTGTACATCTTTATTAAGTTAATGAACAAAACACTGAATCGAATTACGCAAAGGTTGGAATCACATTACATTATTTAGTAAAAAATATATTTGCAATTTACGTCAAATAAATGACTATTTTATTATTTGCAGACTACAACATCCCTATTGTAAGGCAATTACAGAGGTTACAAAACTTGCTTCTCGACGAAACAGGTAGGTAAACCAACGTTTACTGGTCATTCACAAATTTTGATATTACCGGTATATTTATTCTTTATATTTGATTTATTGTTGTTTGCCTTAGGGACCGGTCAATATTTATTGGGGGGTTGGGACCGGTGCAATTCATATTTCTCCCTTAAAAAAATCTATGTCCTCTTAATATACCAAAAAAAGTTTCTGTCCTATATGAAATATCTGCTAAATAAGTATATGTCCTATCTAATCTATGAATAAATCAAACAGACTTTAACTTCATTTTTATCAGATTAACATAGATCACATATAGTAGTCTTTGAATTTGTCTGGAATTTTAACTGATCTCCTCCTTGAAGAAGGCAAATAAGATTCCTTTTCAATTTCACTTTCACTTTCACTGCCACTACAACTACTATTACTACTGTATTCATCATTTGTATTATTATTATTAGATTATATTAAATTGTATTGAATGTTTTATTAGTATAACCATATAAGTGGTTATTTTTTTGGGAGCCAAATTATTAATAAATTTGATATTTTACATACTTTACTGGCGCCAGTCCCTAAACTCATATATTGACGATCACAAATTTTTGGCTGGTGTGAAATTTTGGGATTAATATTATATTTAATAACTTCAATGGTGTTCAAATATTGCAGAGTTGAAATATTAGCTCCCCACAAAAATAACCACTTATATGGTACATGCATATGAATTTATTTATACAATAATATTTTTTTATGTTTTCCATGTGATATGCAAAAAAAGTTCTTGTCAAAAAGGCATAATGCACAACCCGAAATCGAGTGCATTAGGCCTTCGAACCAAAAAACTATTTTTGCATATCACAAGGAACACATAATATTACTGTTATTATTACTCTGAATGTTCATGCGCAGAGATGATCTTGAATTAATAGGCCAATTATCCGCCTACACATACATGTATTCATTGTGATTTTATATTTAAACCGCCCATGTTATATTAAAATCGATATAACACCCTGAATGTGGATATAACCCATTTGATATTACGATGGATATTATTTGAATCCTTTTTATTCCTTATAAAAATATGTCAAAACAGTAGAACTGCAATTCTAATGGAAGATTCCTACACGAAGAGTAATACTCTACAATAGATTATGAACAATTTGTATTATTTTTTTTTTATATCTATTTTTTTTCTGTCTTTTGACTTTGTTTTTTTCTTAATTTTCTAGTCAGAATGTTTTATTGTTAAATAGTTTTCCTTATTTTTAAAGATGTATATTTTATTTAATCCTACCTTTATTTAATGATTTGCATTTGGTTAATTTGTACCACACTGATGGCAGTATATCATATCACTTATTAAAAGCTCCATCAATGTTCTCTTTTTACATTTGTTTATTGTTGCTTATTTTGTTTTTATTAATTTTATGTTTTTTTTATGTTATTATTTATTTTTTATACATGTATTATTTTTTCAACCTTTTTAAAATCATTACATGATTGTTCTATATTAAAAGGTAATATTAATGTCTAGACTTGAAATTGTATTTCCTTTGTTGTAACTTGTTTGTTCCTCAATTAATCTTGTTTATTTTGTTGTAATTAAATTTGTATAGCCTATTTTCTACATTCATACATATGCCAAAAAAAATATTGCTGTCCTATCAGTGCTGAAAACTAAAAAAGTAGAAGTCCTATCAAAAATGTGTGTCATACTGTGTTTTGCACCGGTCCCAACCCCCCAATAAATATTGACCGGTCCCTTACCTCTAGTGATAAATATTCCATGCATGTTCAGGACGATAATTGTCTACGTAGAATGCTTTATACGATTTTTTGAAATACTTGTATGTATCCCCCGTATTGTTTGTTTACAGTGTGTTAATACGATTCAATTCAAATGTCAAGTAGCAAACACGAAAAATAAAACTGAATGAAGAAATTGTAACGTTTTGTTCACACAGTATTCATATTCTTAGTATGGTCCAATATGCAATTGTTTTGTTTCTTTGTGATGTTTTTGCTATTGCTGAGTTCTTAAACTAGCTTTCAGTAACTGCGAGTGTTCTAAGATCTGATCTTTGTGTTTTATTAGAGTTTGTATGTGCTTTGTATCGATGTGATGAGTTAAACCCTTTTCGACTGATATTTACAGGGGCGGATCCAGGATTTTAGGTTAGGGAGGCGCAAACTTAAATTTTCGCCGTGCGGAACGAGGCGAAAATTTTTTTGAGGTAAAATTATTGAAATATTCTTTATTAAGCTGAGGACAACTTTTGCTTTGCAAATTTTAGTATGTTCTTATGTTGTACTGTAACATCACTATCCCAGGTTAGTAGGAGGGTTTGGCTACAACAAACATGTATAACCACGCCACTTTCTGTATATGCCTGTCCCAAGTCAGGAGCCTGTAAATCAGGGGTTGTCGTTTGTTGCTGTGTATCATATTTACTTTTCGTTTATTGTTTTGTACATAAACGAGACCGTTAGTTTTCTCGTTTGAATTGTTTTACATTTGTCACTTCAGGCCTTTCCCTTTATAGCTTACTATGCGGTATGAGTTTTGCTCACTGTTGAAGGCCGTACGGTGACCTATAGTTGTTAACCTCTTTGTCCCTTGGTCTCTAATGGAGAGTTGTCTAATTGACAATCATACCACATCTTCTTACTTTTATATGACACCAGTAAGATATAGCGTTGATTAGTTGTTTCATATATAGACAGTTACACGAATATTTCATTTGTATGCGAGTTTATGAAAATGTTATATATAGGAAAGTTAGTGGTGGCATGGTTTAGTTACAAAATGAAAATAACGATTTATAAATTTGGTGCGTCTGAAGCGCTCTTCTTGATTTCAATCCACCACGAACGCTCAAAGACAAACAAATTGCAAAACCAAGGATGTAAAAGTACTGAATCAAAGTACTGAAGTACTGAACATCGGATGACCGCAAGTTCTTGTGGATTGTCAAAAGCACTTGTCACAGAAAAAAATTACATCTCTATACATGAAACTGAGGTACAGAGATATTTTTTTTCTGAGACATGTTCGTGCGTGGATGATGAATAAATGACAGGAAATTCAACCTCACCGTAATAACTATTATATTGTAGTGATACAAATCAGTATACACTGGTTTATTGTTATATAATATATTAATATAACAGTTACATGTATATATAATTTTCATCCATTTGTATATCATTCTATTCTACTATTCTAATAAGAGTGCAGTGCAAGTGCATGGTGGACACTCTTCTGTAAAAATTCGATTTTTCTAAAAGATTGGATATGAGTAGGCATTCATATTTTCCCGCAAAAACAATCTTCCATGCAAAGTTACCGGTCCTTGCCGGGATTGTCGCAAAATGTTCTAGAGATATTCTTCCGCATGCTTTACCATATCAATGATTTTTTACTTATATATATATATATATATATATATATACTCTTTCAAAATTCAAGAGTCTATCCTAAATTGAGGTAAATTATATGGCCTTCCAAATACCATTTCGATTCCTAACATCACTGAAGAGACATTAATTGTCGAAATCTGGATATGGTGTACAAATTTTTGCACCTCATGTTTGCGGTATACCATCTTTTCCGCAAGTTTATTGTTTTCTGTTTGGTAATAATTTGATAATAAGATCTGTTTTGTTACATCTTGTGATCCGTTTATTTGGCAATCGCCAATGGCAGTCAGCAGGGTTTAAGAACATCAGTTGTTCGACCTGCTAGTCAAATGCGTTTTGTTAAAATATACTTTTTCACTCATTTGGTCTTTTGGAAAATGTTGTTTGTGCTGTATTTAGACCCCTCTACCAAGAAATTTGTTTTGCATGCACACGTATAAAAATTGCGGTTTTTATCCAACGCAATCATAGGTTTGAACGTTGTTTTCAATTTAGACTTGTTTATATATATATATATATATATATCTAACGACAAAACATTTTCATATTGTTAGTTTATGTTCTAAACAAAAATATTGTTATCAGTATTCATTGAAGAGATGTATTTATAACAAACGAGAAGGAATGTTATTTTGCACTCGTTAATATCCGCTGCACTCGTTAATATCCGCGTACTTATCATGTTTATAGATTGGTTAAAAACCCAAAACGAAAGTTACGTAACGGAAATCTAGGCGATAGCAATACGTCGGAATGCCCTCACGGTCATCGCAATGTAAAAACGAGAGAAACAATATTTATTTACTTAAAGAACCTTATAAGAATCGACAAATCTACAGAATGTCTACTTTGCCTGAGGTTTGAATCTTAGTTTATGCAAACTTAGTTTTTATTGACAGAAATCCATTGATGATATTTGATTTCGTCTATGATATGACTTCAGAAGGGAGATTATTCAAAAAGAATTGCGACTATATTCATAGTGTCGCAGATAGTGTGATTGATAGTAGAAAGAAAATACTGGTAAATATGATCTTATTGATAATCCTTTCGATGTAGATATACCCCGGTATATGAATCGAGTTTCAAACACTGTTAGATAGGGAAATGACATAATGAAATCCTTACGAGCTACTGTACATATAAATAACTTACTATACACGATGTACTACTGTTGTGTTCCTCCTGGAAACTCCCAGGTGGTTTGACACCAGTGCTGTGTCTGTTATTGTGTTTGACAAAAACATAGCCCCCCTTTTGTGGGAAAATTTTGGTTAATTATTTAGGAAATGAATGAAGCATGACGAAGTGGGTCCCCTCTTATGGCAGTCAGTGGGCTCCCCCTTATGAAAATTTCTGGGTCCGCCACTGTGGTCTATTAACATTTGTTACCGACTGAGCTCCAGAGGTTCTCGACAATGGAAAAGAACGTTTATGCTATTATATTCTGCTTGTGTAAACATAATTTGTAATTACAGTTTTGCACTAAGCCAGGCTATGAAGGTCAGTTTAAAAAAAACTGTGATTGAAATATCCATTGTCTTTGCTTTGTTTCGGAAGGAAAAGCAACTGATATTTTGCATGGTTTATCAGAATTCGAAATAAATTCAATATCTTCATTTTCCTATACAGATTATTTTCTTCTCTTGATTTTTTTTATACAGAAACATAAATCAAACTTTGACCTCTTGTATATAAGTGTTATCAAATGCAAATGATCCTTTTATATCTTAGCCATTATTTACTGTATATCTTAGCCATTATTTACTGTATATCTTAGCCATTATTTACAGTAAATCTTAGCCATTATTTACTGTATATCTTAGCCATTATTTACAGTATATCTTAGCCATTATTTACAGGAAAGTGGACAAATGATCCTTGTATATCTTAGCCATTATTTACAGTAAATCTTAGCCATTATTTACAGGAAAGTGGACAAAAGGATGTTAAGAAGTATTTAGACTTTTTAGATATTCTCCTTTCTGCTAAAGATGAAAATGGAAACGGAATGAGCAAACCCGATATAAGAGCTGAAGTTGACACGTTTATGTTTGAAGGTATAAATGCATTTATATTTTGCTATTATTTGTTATGAACAGAATAATCAAACAAACACTTGTTCGTCGTTTTACTTTATATCGGTCGCTGGGGTTTGTTCTATGTGCTTTATATCGGTCAATTGTATATCAAGGTTTGTTTTACATTATATCGGTGGGCGAGCTTATTTTTACTTTATATAGGTCGCCAAGGTTCTGTCTTACTTCAGATCAGTCGCTGAGGTTTGTTTTTCTTTATATCGGTCGCTCAGGTATGTTTTACTTGATATCGGTCGATGAGGTATGTTATACTTTATATCGGTCGCTGAGGTTTGTTTTACTTCATATCGGTCGATGAGGTATGTTTTACTTTATGTCGGTCGCTGAGATTTGTTTTACTTCATATCGGTCGATGAGGTATGTTTTACTTTATATCGGTAGCTGAGGTTTGTTTTATTTTATATATATCGGTCGCTGAGGTATGTTTTACTTCATATCGGTCGCTAATGTTTGTTTTACTATACAACGGTCGATGAGGTGTGTTTTACGTCGCTGATGTACGTTTTACGTCGATGATGTACGTTTTACGTCGCTGAGGTGTGTTACGTCGCTGATGTACGTTTTACGTCGCGGTGTTTTGTTTTACTTTACATGTATATCGGTCAATAAGGTAGGTTTTTTTTTGTAAAGCAATCGTAGAAGAGAAAAACAAACACGTAATTTTTTAAAGTAAATTTAAATTATAAATCATTTCGATAAGATGCAAGAGGCGCCTTATTCCAGTTAGCTATGTTTGTTGTGTATTTTAAAAGAATTTATGTGTTCGTTCGCAAGAACCCCAAAAAAATGCTCATATTCCTCTTAATAATCATAAAGATTTTTAAAGCAAGTATGTATATAAACATATTTTCCCCATTAAGTAAACAACGAAAAAGTTAGGATTGTCATATCAGATTTCTAAAAAGCAGCCATAACTAGCTTTCAGCAATAGCGATTACTTTCATAATGGTTATTTGGTTTTTTTTTGTCATTTTGTTAAGTTTTTGTTATACTTTGTGCCAAACTGACGAGTCAGTCCTTTCATAATAATGTTAACAGTTTGTTCTTATGTTGTGCTGTTATATCACTGTTCCAGGTTAGGGGAGGGTTAATATTCTTATAATCACGTTTAAACATGCCGCATTCTGTATGAGCCTGTTCGAAGTCAGAAGCCTGTAATTCAGTGGTTGTGGTTGGTTGCTGTATGCCATATTTATTTTACGTTTATTGTTTAAGCATAGATAAGGACCTTGGTTTTCTATTTGAGCTATTTCACGTGTTGTCATTATACGAGGCCTTTTATGCATGTAGCTTTCTATACGGTAAGGGTTATGGGCAGTGTTGAAGGCTGTACGGTCCTCGTCCTATTGTCTCATTAGCAATTATATCACATCTCCTGAATTTTATATGACGTTTTATACTGATCAATAATTAAATCACAATATTTATTTCAATAAAACCACGAAAACAATGTACTAACTGACATATAATCTCATATCAGGGCATGACACCACGACCAGTGCTATATCTTGGATCCTGTATGATTTAGCAAAACATCCAGACTACCAGAAATTATGTCAGAATGAAATCGACAATGCACTTGGAAATAATCCTGGTTTTGTAAAATGGTATGTATAATACATTATGACCACGAGATTTGTCTATACATTTAAAAGCGATTCGGACGCACGAAATTTATAAAATGTTAATATCATAATTTACTTATCCGTATAATTAGTCCAAAGTACAAATCCTTGCCTTTTATAAATGTGCTGCAACATTATACCCTAAAATAAACTGGTTATTTTTCTATTAAATTCTTGTAATTCATAAGTTTTAATATATGTGTAGTAGAATGCAGAGTACATTTTCAGTTATTTATTTTAGAATTCTTAGATTTAATTATTTAGTAGTAACAAATAATATTAAGTTGAAAACATTCAATAATTTGTTTCAATCCTGTTAATAGTGATAAACCTGAAAATGTACAAGATGGAGCTAACAGAACAACGCCTTCAAAAGTACGAAGATTATAAAGGAAAGGGATATCATGTTTTTCATGCGCTTAAGAATTCCCTATGAACGTTATATATAGAAGTCGAGAAACGTTTATTTGTTTTTAAAGGCAGTGCTTTAATGCCTTTCTAGTTGCCGGGTTAATCCTTCCTTCCGCGATATCCAACTTATCTACGTGGGGGGTCATTAGGCTCCAAGTAGATCCGGAAATGTTGAATTCTCTCCTCTTCTTATTGTGATATAAAATGTTTTTTGTTTCATTTCATTTACATTGGTAAATAGAGAAACGATCATTGTGTTTTGTTAGTTTTAAAAACTTTTGATATATTTGTATTTTGCATTATAAGCAGTCAACCGATTGACAAACTAGAATTATTTGAATTCCGTGTGGAAAGAGCTCGGGTTAATTTCGAGTGTTATCTGCAATCTAGATGTTTATAAATCATTTCAGTCGTTGATATAATAATTAAGAGTCGACTGAACATTAATTATATTAAACAATTTAAAGCGCATTTCTGTCTATGCACGTGAACCCGTCTAACGTTATTGTTATTTCGCAGTTATATAAAGTAGCAAATTATCGTTCCTGAATAGGTGGCGCCGTGGTAGCCGATCCTGTTCCTCAACTTCCGGTTTCTGCACTGTGCAACTATTACAGTTGCATTTTTAATTAACGATGCCAAGTACTTGTTGTTGTGTTCCTGGATGTCATTTAAGAGGAGGACATGCATTTCCAAATGACTTAAAAAGAAGGAAAAGTTGGATCAACGCCATGACACGATGAAATCGTGGAGTCCATCTCAATCAGCTGTTGTTTGCAAGGCACATTTTACTGAAAAAGACTACGTGCAGGAAACTATTCATGGTAAAACTCTATTTTCTTTTTGAAATATATAGTTATATATGTAATCGCCATGCGAATAAACCAAAGTATGTTTACAACCGCAATTATCGTTTTAGAATAAAAGGGGGTGGTTAATTCAAGACGTCATAATTTTTTGGATTACGATTCAATGTGATCTGTGTGAGATTTTTTGGTGATTGCTACAATTATAATGATTTCTTACAAGAGGTATATCATACTGAGAATTATTTTAGCAGTAATTATGCTAATGTAGTAATGACAGGAATGAATAAGCTATGCCTCATAGACTTTCTTGAAAAATATCAATGACAATGTTAACAGGAACAAAACAATGACATGCTCTCATCTATATTATAGTTATTAAGGTACAGACAATGTACGTTTGTTGCATAAGTCTCTCATTGTTTGTCCTTTGGATTTACATAACATACATTGAATCAGGCAAACATAGTTTTATCCAGATTGTTATGAATAAATTTAGTTAATATTTCGCCAGGTAATACAAAGTATACATTGCTAATGGAAGTTCATTTAATTATCAAAAAACTAATGTTTTATAACCTTTTTCAGGGCGCAAACCCACCATACAGAGACTTAAGTCTACTGCCATTCCCAGCCTATTTTCCTTGACCAAGCAAGAGACTGAATTGTCCGCAAAAAGAAAAATCAGGGCAGTTTCCTGTGAAAACAAAAGAACTAAACTTGATGAATATTGTAGTAGAAATCTAGAGGAAAGTTTTGATTGTAAAGTTGGTTTTCCTGAAGAAGTCATTCATACTGCAGAAAGGATTTATGACTGTCCACCACCAACTGCCGAGCTAATGTTGAGCTTCCAAGATGGAATTACGCAAACACCATCAATGTCTATGTTTTCAGCAGAGAATTTTGAAATGAAGACACGTGACACAGCCATGCATTTTTATACCGGTTTAGAGTTGTATACTAAATTTTTATTTGTTTTGACCACACTTTGTCCAACAGCACATTGTTTGAGATACATATATTTTCAAATTGATAGGGTGTCAGTTGAAAATCAGTTTTTTTATGACTTTGATGAAATTGAGGCATTATACAACCAACTTTGAACTTTCTAGATTCTAGATTGAATCTAGTGTTAAGAATATTGTGTATACATGGATTGTTTTTATGCCTTAACAGTGGTGTGAGGCTAACACTTGGCCATCTAGTGGTTTAGTCAGGCATTTTTCGCCATCCAACTTCAAATTAAAGTTTCCTACGACTTGGATTATTATTGACAGCACAGAATATCCCGTGATAAAACCTAAAGCTCCTAGAGCTCAGGCAACCTTTTCATCATATAAAAACAGAAACACTGAAAATACTTGTATGTTCGACGCCTGGTGGTTTAGTCAACTATGTCTCTAATGCATATGTTGGTTCTACCAGTGACTATGAAATAGTTGAAAGATGTAGAATACAAAATGTAGTTCAATTATGTGATCCAGGTGACAGTGTGATGGCAGACAAAGGTTTAAATGTGCAAGATTTGTTTGCCAACTTTTTTTCAAAAAAAGAAACAGAATTAGTTCCAAAACTCTTATACGGGATAGAAAAGTCTCCAATTAACATGTGCACATAGAGCGAATTATTGGACTTGGCAAAACATACAAAATTCTCACAAATCCTATGAATGGAACTGAAACAAAACTTTCATCTGAAATAACATTTAGTTGTTTTATGTTGTGTAATTTTAGAACTTGTATTGTGCCAAAGGATGCAGAAATAAACGTGACGCAATGAATTTTGTTCTGATATATATATATTTATAATTACATGCACATGTAAATTGTAATGCATATAAAAATAAGGAGATGTGGTATGATATTCAGTGAGTTTATCGAACTAAAGTGCATAAGAAATGGGTTTAAGCAGTTACAGGTGTTACTGTCACTGTACAGTCTCCAATAATGAGAAAACTTGTACCGTGTAAAAAATTTCAGCGATCTTACCACTAAGTTTTGTTGTCTCACCTTGACTTTGATGAATTGTTTATATCTGTTGATGTTAATATAAAAAAGAAGATGTGGTATGATTGCCAATGAGACAACTCTCTACAAGAGACCAAATGACACAGAAATTAACAGCTATAGGTCACAGTATGGCCTTCAACAATGAGCAAAGCCCATACCGCACAGTCAGCTATAAAAAGCCCCGAAATGACAATGTAAAACAATTCAAACAAGAAAACTAACGGCCTAATTTATGTACAAAAAATGAACGAATATAACAAATATGCAACACATAAACAAACGACAACCACTGAATTACAGGCTCCTGACATGGGACAGACACATACATGTACATACAGAACGTGTCAGGGTTAAACATGTTAGCGGGATCCCAACCTTCCCCCTAACCTGGGACAGTGGTGTAACAGTACAATATAAGAACAAACTATAAAAATCAATTGAAAGAGGCTTAACTCATCAGATGGATAAATACAAGTGGACGTGGTCGGGTAGTTGTACATCCAAACAACAAAAAGACACTAAGTACAGATCTGAGAGTACTCACAGTTACTGACAGCTAGTTCAAAGCCACTAACAACTGATAAAAAAATCTTGCATCTAAGACTAAATTATCAATCCGTAAGCTCCCTTTAGAATTTTATAAATTTTAGATTTTACATTTCTGAGTTATGGGGTTTTATTGGGATTTTCCAGTTTTTGTCGAGCCTGCGACTTTTGTCGCAGAAAGCTCGACATAGGGATAGTGATGTGGCAGCGGCGGCGTTAGCTAACTTCTTAAAAGCTTTATATTTTAGAAGGTGGAAGACCTGGCTGCTTCATACTTTGTATATGGATGCCTCATGTTACGAAGTTTCCGTCAGCTACATGTCCAATGTCCTTGACCTCATTTTCATGGTTTAGTGACTACTTGAAAAAAAAGTTAACATTTTTTGTAATGTTAAATTCTCTCTTATTATAAGTAGTAGGACAACTATGTTTGGTATGTGCGTACCTTGCAAGGCCCTCATGCCCGTCAGACAGTTTTCACTTGACCTCGACCTCATTTCATGGATCAGTGGACAAGGTTAAGTTTTGGTGGTCAAGTCCATATCTCAGATACTATAAGCAGTAGGTCAAGTATATTCGGTGTATGGAAGGACTGTAAGGTGTACATGTCCAACTGGCAGGTGTCATCTGACCTTGACCTCATTTTCATGGTTCAGTGGTTATAGTTAAGTTTTTGTGTTTTGGTCTGTTTTTCTTATACTGTATGCAATAGGTCTACTATATTTGGTGTATGGAATGATTGTAAGATGTACATGTCTAGCTGGCAGGTGTCATTTGACCTTGACCTCATTTTCATGGTTCAGTGGTCAAAGTTAAGATTTTGAGTTTTGTTCTTTTTTTCTAATACTCTATGCAATAGGTCAACTATATTTGGTGTATGGAAATATTTTATGATCTTTATGTCAGTCGTGCAGGTTTTATTTGACCTTGACCTCATTTTCACAGTTCATTGCTCTGTTAAGTTTTTATACGACCGCAAAAATTAAAAATTTTTTGGTCGTATATTGGTATGACGTTGGCGTCGTCGTCGTCGTCGTCCGGCTTCGTCCGAAGACACATTGGTTTTCGCACTCTAACTTTAGTTTAAGTGAATGGATCTCCATGAAATTTCACCATAAGGTTCAATACCACGAAAGGAAGGTTGGGATTGATTTTGGGGGTTATGGTACTAACAGTTAAGGAATTAGGGGCCAAAAAGGGGCCAAAAATAAGCATTTTTGTAACTTCCAGACAATAACTTGTGTGTAAGTGTATGGATCTCTCTGACATTGTACCACAAGGTTCCATATCACAAAGGGAAGGCTGTAATTGATTTTGGGGGTAATTGCCTCAAAATTTTAGGAATTAGGGGCCAAAAAAGGGGCAAAAAACAAGCATTTTTCTAGTTTCATGACAATAACTTGTGTGTAAGTGTTTGGATATTTCTGAAATTGTACTACAAGGTTCCATATCACAAAGGGAAAGCTGGAATTGAGTTTGGGGGTAATTGCCCGAAACGTTTAGGAATTGGGGGCCAAAAAGGGGCCAAAAATAAGCATTTTTCTAGTTTCCAGACAATAACTTGTGTTCAAGTGTATGGATCTCTCTGAAATTGTACTGCAAGGTACCATACCACAAAGGGAAGGCTGGTATTGAGTTTGGGGGTGATGAATCATAAGGGGGTTCAAAAAATTTTGGGGGGGGATTTTTTTTTTTTTTTTTATTTCTTTTTTTCCTTTTTTTTTCTTTTAAAATTTTCCATTTTAAGTTAGTTATTTCTGATTTATATTTAAAAGCAAATAATAATGATATGGTAGGAGATACACACCAAACAGGATGTGTAAATTATTATATAATAAGTATTGTGCAATAGCAAGAAATTTTCAATTGCACAGTATTGCACAATAGCAAGAAATCTTCAATTGCACAGTATTGCGCAATAGCAAGAAATCTTCAATTTAACAGTATTGCGCAATAGCAAGAAATATCCAATAGCACAATATTGCGCAATAGCAAGAAATTGTCAATTGTACAGTATTGCGCAATAGCAAGAAATATTCAATTGCACAGTATTGTGCAAAAGAAAATACTTCGTATAAATTGCTTATTTCTTGATCAATTTCAATGGGGTTTTATTCTTGAATTCTTGGGGTTCTTTAATATGCTGAATCTAACCGTGTATTAAGTTTTTGGATTTTGGGCCCCGTTTTTAAATTGGTCCACATTGAGGTCCAAAGGGTCCAAAATTTAACTTTGTTTGATTTCATCAAAAATTGAATTATTGGGGTTCTTTGATATGCCGAATCTAACCGTGTATTTAGATTTTTAATTTTGGGTCCCGTTTTTTAAAATTGTCTACATTAAGGTCCAAAGGGTCCAAAATTAAACTTAGTTTGATTTTAACAAAAATTGAATTCTTAGGGTTCTTTGATATGCTGAATCTAAACATGTGTTTAGATTTTTGATTATGGGACCAGTTTTCAAGTTGGTCCAAGTTGGGGTCCAAAATTAAACTTTCTTTGATTTCAACAAAAATTGAATATATGGGGTTCTTTGATATGCTGAATCTAAACATGTATTTAGATTTTAGATTTTTGGCCCAGTTTTCAAGTTGGTCCAAATTGGGGTCCAAAATTAAACTTTGTTTGATTTCAACAAAAATTTAATTTATGGGGTTCTTTGATATGCTGAAACTTACCATGTATTTAGATTTTTTATTTGTGGGCCCGCTATCAAATTGGTTCATATTGAGGTCAAAAGGGTCCAAAATTAAACTTTGTTTGATTTCATCAAAAATTGAATTATTGGGGTTCTTTGATATGCCAAATCTAACCGTGTAATTAGATTTTTAATTTTGGGTCCTGTTTTTTAAATTGGTCTACATTAAGGTCCAAAGGATCCAAAATTAAACTTAGTTTGATTTTAACAAAAATTGAATTTTTTTGGGTTCTTTGATATGCTGAATCTAAACATGTGTTTAGATTTTTGATTATGGGACCAGTTTTCAAGTTGGTCCAAGTTGGGGTCCAAAATTAAACTTTGTTTGATTTCAACAAAAATTGAATATATGGGGTTCTTTGATGTGCTGAATCTAACCATGTATTTTGATTTTGGACATTGGACCATAATAGGTAAATTAAAAAAATTGAAGTTCTTAGACCACATTCTTTCTGTGTCAGAAACCTATGCTGTGTCAAATATTTAATCACAATCCAAATTCAGAGCTGTATCAAGCTTGAATGTTGTGTCTATACTTGCCCCAACTGTTCAGGGTTCGACCTCTGCGGTCGTATCAAGCTGCGCCCAGCGAAGCATTTTATTGTGTTTTGGTCTGTTTTTCTTAAACTATAAGCAATAGGTCAACTATATTTGTTGTATGGAAGAATTGTTAGCTGTACATGCCTGCCTGGCATGGTTCATCTGACCTTGACCTCATTTTCATGGTTCATTGGTCAATGTTTAGTTTTCTTGGTTAATGTTAAGTTTATGTGACAGTTGCAATAAAGCTTTATATTAAGGACTTTCAACATAATATCAGTGATTAGTAAAGAAGGCTTGACATTTCAGCGTGTGCACTGTTGTTGGACAACAACTCAAAAATGCTTTAAGCAGTTCGCATGAAACTTTGGTGAATTATTTATAGCTATTGATGTAATCTCCCTATAGATTTTCATAAATTTCAAATATGACATTGAGAAGAAATTGAACTTTATTTGTTTATAGTCTGGCAACAGATTTATTAAGTATTGCGCAACAGCACAGTTTATTGCACAACAGCAAGAAATCTTTAATTGAATATAAATACAATTCATATAACCTATTTCAAGTTCTTTGACTACATTTATTCAGAAACTATAATATGTCAAATATTTAATTACAATCCAAATTCAGACCTGTATCAAGCTTGAATATTGTGTCCATTTTTGCCCCAACTGTTCAAGGTTGGACCTCTGCGGGTGTATCCAGCTGAGCTCAGCGAATCAGTTTATTTCTTAATTAAGAACTCCTTTTTTCATTCATAAATTACTTGAAACTTGGAAATATAATTTTGCTTGGAGTTATAGTTTCTAAAAAAGTATTGTCATTGAAAGAGTTGACATGTTGCAATGTACATTTATTTTACATAGTTCTATGGTACCAAATCAAAAGTTTATATAAAAGAAAGAAGTCAAAGGTTTCCTATCACAGTTTAGTTACATACATTTTTTTTTGTACCTGAGGTCGTTGAATATAGATCATTATATAAATAAGGAGATGTGTTATGATTGCCAATGAAACAACTATCATCCATACTTACCAGTAACAAACCACATTTGCAGAGTTGAATAAAATACAGTTGATAACATTTACTTATTACTAAAAAGAAAATGCCTAACTATTTTAAACAGTATTTGAATATCAATTATATGGTCATTTTTATAAACTTCCTGTTACAAAACTTTGAATTTTTCGAAAAACTAAGGATTTTCTTATCCAAGGAATAGATTACCTTAGCCGTATTTGGCACAACTTTTTGAAATTTTGGGTCCTCAATGCTCTTCAACTTTGTACTTGTTTGGCTTTATAACTATTTTGATCTGAGCGTCACTGATGAGTCTTATGTAGACGAAACGCGCGTCTGGCGTATTAAATTATAATCCTGGTACCTTTGATAACTAATTTGACTATAAACATAGATGAAAAGGTACAAACTGGACATAATGCACTAGTTCATAAACAAGTGAGAACAATCGCCTTCATATAGTGCTCAGAATATGACATTCATAAAACTTGTTCAATATCATTAGAGAACTCTAAATCTTGAATACTGAAAGCCACCTCTGATAAGTACACTGTACTATGCAAGATAATGATATAACTGGACTAAAAATACACACAACCTGTAATTAACTGCCTTTACAGCGCTTTCGCGCTTTGATTTTATGTTGTTGTTGAGACTTTTCTTTTGAATCGTATATTTCAAGAGACTAAAGACAATCAAATGTGTGTGTAAGTGTGTTTGTGTCGAGCTCTTTTCTTGTCATATCTAAAATCTATTTTTCAAGAGAAGAAAGATATGTTAACGCATGAAATACTTTTGTGGAATCTGTTTCTCTAATGATTTCTTTAACGATATGTAGGCAAACTACTGTAACGTTCTTTTTCGATGTTTAAAAAATGTTAAATATTCTGTTTAATTATGTCACAGTTAGACATTAACAATTCGACAACAGATACCAAATGGACAATCAAAATCAGAAGTTTTACCACATTTATCGGCAAAAAATTAGGGAAATATTTTTTTACATCGTATACTATTTAAACTGAAATCAAGGTTATTTCAATGCTGCACTGTTTTCAAGACAAACAAAATTTGATAAATAGATTAATCTAAAGTTTCTTGAGGATGGTAAGAAGTGCCTACCACCAAAGGATAGCAATCTGACTTAATATAATAATCTTTATATCTTTGTAATTTTTCATGAGAATATGGCAATTTTTACAGGGACGATTTAGGAAAATTCGAATTTCTAACACAGTGTATAAAAGAAGGAATGAGACTTCACTCACCAGTCCCCTTAATTTCAAGACAATCCACAAAGGAGTTCACCATTGATGGAACTACTTTTCCTCCTGGGACTTTTTTCGGTATCAACATATATGGTCTCCATCACAACCCTGCTGTCTGGACAGATCCAATGAAATTTGACCCAAGTCGCTTCTCAAAGGACAATGCTACACAGATGGACTCTTTTGCATTTACTCCATTTTCTGCTGGACCAAGGTATGATTAATATATGACACATATACTATAACATGTATAATATAAACAAATAGCAAGTCTTTCTTATTAGAGGTTTAATATAATTGATATTAGTTTGGCTCTCCTTCTGCTCCAAAAAGAAATAGTTTCATTTTTATTCAAGTAATATATATATTGTTTTGTAGGAATTGTATTGGACAACATTTTGCAATGAACGAAGAAAAGACTCTTATAACGAGAATACTTGAAAGGTTATTATATAATATTTAATTTGTTATAATGTTTAAGAGATTAATTTGATATCTGTAATACACAATATCCTTATTTTGAAAAGCAATGGAATATAAAGGTAATATAATATTGTCAATCGAAGTATCATGAGTTATCTTAAAATATAATCTTTATCTAATTTCCTTGCACACCATATGTATTTCTTGAATAACCATTAAATACACTCGAGACCAAACGCTTGGGAAACCAACAATAACATGTGAGTAAAAGCAGTCTGAATGAACGGACTACAGACCGGATGCGTGAGCAAGGTTGACATCATCTGCTATAAATTCATCACCAGTTATGTCACATCCAGTAGCAAATGTTCAAATCCAGGAACATAAAATGGCTGAAATAAGAACTATGATGGACAGTTCATATCATCATGGTGTAAGTTTTCTCCTGATAGCATATTATATATAGTCAACCAGTTGGCGTACGTTAATTTTGTAAGTGATAACATGTTTAATGAATAAATGCAAAACATTGACTTGTATGTCTTACCTCGTCACCCTAATATCATCATTCGGTATTATGAATTTTCTTTGGCAGTTAAATAATACTAACATCAATTAATATTAAGGTGTCAACTGGTTGCATTACATGCGATTAGTCTTCTACGATCGAATTCTACGTGTAGTTATAATTGCAGATTTACATTAGAACCTGATCCTGACCATCAAGTGTCTCCACAGATGGCAGCTGTTATGCGATCTAGAAATGGAATCAAATGCATTGCAAAACGCAGATAAGGACAATAATAAGACACTTTCACAACTGATTAAACGATAAATAAAGAATCTATCAATCCAAATAATAGTATTCGACTCATCATATTAGTGAAACTGTCAATGGATCATTTTGAGTTAAGGCAATCGCTTTCCATCTTTGCCCAACCATTTTTCTTGAACTTGTTCAAAAAAATTCCTGTAAACGTTTAGTGTAAGCTAAATTTAAGTCTAAATATAAAAATTAGAAGACGTGGTATGGTTGCAAATGAGACAGTACTCAACCAGAGACCAAATGATATAGAAGTTAACAACTATAGGTCACCATACGTCCTTCAACAATGAGCAAAACACATATCGCATAGCAATCTATTAAAGGCCCCAGAATGACAAATGTAAAACAATTAAAACGAAAACTAACGGCCTGATTTATGTACAAACAAATATGATATACAGCAACAACGACAACCACTGAATCACAGGCTCCTGACTTTGGATAGGCACATACAGAACGCGGTGGGGTTAAATATGTTTGCTGCTCTCAAATCTTACCCCTAACTTGGGACAGTGATGTAACAGTACAACATAAGATCAAACTATACAAATCAGTTGAAAAGGGCTTAACTGTTCAGATCAATACAAAGCACATAAAAACACAAACAAAACACATTTACTGAAAGCTAATTCAAAGGCAATAAAAATCATAAAAAAATCATGTGTTTAAGAATAAAATATCAATAAGTACACATCCAAAATACAATGGATTGATCCCATTCAAAAGTTGTGCGCAGTTTTGAGATTTTTTTCGTTGATGTCTCAACTAACTACATGTAATATACATAGCGGAGTGGCCTGCTCCATTAGGAAAGAGTTTTAAACGGAAAGTCACATTTTGATCTGAACCGATACTAAAATGTTGAACTACAAATTATATATTCATAATCATCAATATTCTTACATTTCTGCTTTGACTCATTGAATTCCGTCTACTCAGTTTGCTTGCGTTCAGTTAAATATAAAAATAGGGAGATGTGGTATGATTGCCAATGAGACAAATATCCACCAAAGTTCAAATGAAGTGGCTGATATGAAAAATATGAAACAATTCAATTAAGAAAACTAATTTATAACAAAATCATTTACGAAAAACAAATATGACCGACATGAACCAACGATAACCACTAAAGTACAGGGTCCTGAATTGGGACAGGCGTATAAAGAATGTCGCAGGGTTAAACATGTTTGTGAGCGCTCAATCCTCTCCCTAACCTGGAACCGTGTCCAAAAGAAATATTATGTTGTAATTGTAATGAACCTTTAAAAAATACGATGTAAAAATACGTGATATTTTGACCTGCAACATAATTGTCAAGTTTTGTGGACTGATATTTCAACAAATCAAGCGGTATACCAATGCGTTGTAGAGTGCACTTTCTATTGGTAGACTTGGTTTTGTATACACATGAAACATAATTCATACAAAACCTTTTTAGAGACCAAAACAGTTCAGCTATCTATAAGTGCTGTAATTTCACGTATGAAAGATTAATGATGGTCTGTCGCTCAGTAAAAAGGAAAAATAACAAAAATACCGAACTTCAAGGAAAATTCAAAAAGGAAAGTCCCTTATCAAATGGCAAAATCAAAAGCTCGAACACATCAAACGAATGGAAAACAACTGTCATATTCTGACTTGGTACAGGCATTTCCTTATGTAGAAAATTGTGTCCATATTTTAATCAGGTCATGCATCTACTGTGCCCCAGTGAGCATGAAATAAAGGAGACTACTGAAATTAGAAACTCGGTTTTATACCTGGAGCTTTTTTTTGGAATTGGCCTACGCAGAGAACTTCAAACTACGTTTTCTGACAAACATGGCGATTTCAGTTTTCCCTTTGTCAACTTCCCGTTTCTCAGTAATAATATACCCCCTGTTTCATAGCATGATGTAACCATTTATACAATTGTATATTTCGCACGTGACTATTCACATCCTACTGACTTCATTTACATGGACGTGATCCCAACGAGAATTTTTTTTTTTTTTTTTTTTTTTTTTTTGTGAGGTTACATTTACAGTTATTGATAAAAAAAATTGATAAAATTCACATATACCAAACTTAATGAAAGGATATACAAGAATCATTGTATTGAAAAATAGCGCCACAAACAAACGTTACAGTTACACGGAAAACAAACTGTTTGTCCAATTTCTAAACTACCTTTCTGTTTTAGAAGTGTACATCATAATTCATTTTTATTATCAACATTACTATGTACAGTGAAGTGTCCTTATAGTAAAATAATAATCACGATACAAGAACGCCACCGATAATGTTACTTTTCCAATGAGACTCAAGAAAGCTCGTGTCTGGGATGTTAACCGATAGAGAGCTTGATTCCTTCAGCTTTACACAGACTGAATATACGTTATGCTGACAAACAAGAGGCCCTTCTTTGTGCCCTATTGAAATGTCCTTTTTCTTGTATGTTAACTTCATTATTCCGCGTCCTCTGACAATGGTCTTTACTTTGGAATTCTACATGTACATAAATCATATAAAGTCGAGATGTTTGAACGGTTAATTCATTGGTACTTGATTTCCTGTTTGTTAATAAACGTTGAAGCTTTACTACTTCTGATAACTTAAAACACTCTGCATTTTCTAGATAAAAGTAAGAAAGTATAAACTCATTATTTTCTAATTTAAAGAAAAAACGTCTTTCATGTTCTATTCTTTTTTGATATTTTACATGTTACAATATGTGTAACCAGTGAACATCTTTAAAGGAAAATAGATTGAAAAGTCATCATCCTTGTTAACATCGCTTCTCTCAAATGTGTTTGTTCCATTTTAATCTCCGAGTAATACTAAGTCTTTGTGTGCCTGCATACTAAAGGTCAGCAACCTCGTTTGTAATTGCCTTTAGTTATCTTAACTTGTGCCTGCATGATAAATTTCTGGAACCTAGTCAGTAATTTTACGTTTTTCTTTTAAATAGTGGTTTTTATTGATTGATTATAGTCTCTACTTAATTTATTTACATTTTTCTAGATGGATCAATTCAGTCAGATAATGAATTCAGCCGGATAATGAATACAATTAACATTCGCATTCCGTTGCTTTGTATAAAAAGTTGGACAGACTTCGTTCCGCGAATGTGTCTTCATATTCTTATTCCAACGCCTATATGTGTAAATATGTTAAAGGTATATTTGACCTCAAAATCAAAAGGGCAGATTTCTTCCTGAATCTATTTCACAATAGCGGCAATTTGAAAAAAAAAATTCAGAGCTTCATAGTGTTTACGCTCTAACAATAATATGGTTAGTTTTAAACAGTCTATAGGATACACAAGTTTTGAAAGTCTATAGATTGCACAAAACGAAAGTTTGTCAGAATTTGGCATTTGTTTTATAATTATCCTTAAAATGTAAAAGTGGGACATTCATATTGAAACTAAAATCAATACAAATTGCTGTTTGAAGTAAAGTCATGTATTGTATTTCTTATACACAGTATCTTGTTTTTGGAAGTGACGTCTTTCGTTAGAATTTATAAAATGGATAAATTTTGCAATTTTGAATAAAAATGCCGTCATCAGCAACATGTTGATCCGAATTTCATTGTTTATCAAAATGCCTTTATAATATAAACGGTACCAATTTTACTGCACCAGATGCGCATTTCGACAATTAATGTCTCTTCAGTGATGGTCGAGGCCAAAATATTTAAAAATCCAAAACCTTGTACAAACGTCGAAGAGCTGATCAACCAAAAAACTTAAAGTATAGCCAAAATCTGACAGGGAATCAGAGCTTTGCGTGAGGGAGATATATTCCTTAATTTTAATTGATTTCTAAAATTTTATAACAGTAAATTTAAAACAACATAATATCCGTAATTTCATGCCAGTACCGAATTACTTGCTACTGGGCTGGTGATACCCTCGGGGACTAACAGTCCACCAGCAGAGGTATCGACCCCGTGGTAGTAATAATATAAACGGTACAAATTTTTCAGCACCAGATGCGCATTTCGACAATTAATGTCTCTTCAGTGATGCTCGAGGCCAAAATATTTAAACGTTCACATGCTTTTGAAACTTATTCTAACCCCTCTTATTATATATTACACCACCAAACAAGCCCTATACTCAAAATACAAACAAAAGTTTCTGTTAAATCAAATTGTTGAGACATTGCACACATGTATGACCTGTGTTTTGTAGCTTATAAGAGTTTGGGATATACAATATATTTAAAAATATGAAGATGAAGAACATTTGCTAATTAGAAAACTTTCAATAGGCCAAAGGACAAGATGTGATCAAATACAGTTCATCGTACGGCCTTCAACAGTGAGCAAACCAATACTGTGTAGTAAGCAATAATAGACCCATGTGTAATAAAATATAAAACTATTCAAAAGAAAAAATCAAAGGCCTGATTTAGTCTGCAACAAAGAACGAAAAATAGGACAAGCAACAACGACTTCCAACCACTAAATTCCAGGTTCCTTCCTTTGAACAGGCACATAAAGATGATGGTAGGGTTGAAATGTGTGTGAGCACTATATCGTTCCCTAACCTGGGATAGTGGTTTGACAACACACCATACAAACCTGGGACAATGGTGTAACAACACAACATACAAACAAACTATATGAACTATAAAAATAAGATGGAAAGGACTTGACAAATCAGGTCAGTATTTAGCACAAAATGTGAGTACCGATAAAGACACTATTCAAAGATATTCTTCAGGTTCAACCAAGCTTCCAACAAAATATTTGTATCTATGAAATAATTGAGTAAACGTTTTTAGTAATTTGCATTAACAAAACCTTGACGTAATAATTTTTCAGGAATCATACCGTTTAAATTCATAGAAATGTAACATCACTTGAGACACATTCATATATCGTACGGGGAAATGTGCACATCGTTAGAAGGTACCAAAGTAATATAACAAAGGGAAATAAACAGAAAAGAACAAAACATTGCCTTTTTTGTCGTAAAATCTAGTAGAGACCTTCCGGCGTTAATAGTAATATCCAAATCAAGAAAAGGACAATTA